CCTGTCTACCGGGGAGGTAGGAAGCTCTGCACTGCTTGTGCCTCCATGGGGTACCTTTGTGCCTCCTCTCTTCCTGAGCCCCCAGAACAGGACTTCCTGTTAGTCAGCCCAACATTATCACAGTAAGATACTTTCTTGGCCCTCCAAACCCCCCAACCCAATGAAGCCTTAGAGGGTTGCAGATGCCCCCAGGGTGTCTGGGAAAGGTTTTCAGTATGAAAGTGGGGTGTGCCACAAAGATGACCTGCTTCCCCAGGTGAACTGCTCTTCCTCCCCAGACTGAAGGAGAAGGCAGAAGCCACAGGACATCCACCCTAAAGGGCCCCTCCATCCCAGCCCCCCGACTGTTCCCCAAAGGAGCATGGGGAATGGAGTGGGCAGGTAAGCAAAGCCCCACCTCGGCCGAGGGCGGTCAGCCCCGAAGTCAGCTGGGAAACGGCTTGGCCCGAGGTAGCACATCTGACCGGACCCTGTGCTTGGGAGATCAGTTGTGAAACTCGCTTCAAACCCCCAAACCACAAAAACGGCCGATTTTCCCAGCTCTGCTCACATTTCTCAGATCAGCCAAGGAGTCTGCATTATTTCCATCCGAAAAAAGCCAGGCCAGCCACCTGCCCTGGGTGGGTGGGTGGGGGCACAAGAAAATGCCAAAGGTGCAGAGCTGTGGGCGCTGTGGAAGCCCCTCCTGCATCGGCACCCTGTTCCTGTCAGATGTGGGGGCTGGGGAAAGGGCAAAGCCTGCTGGGCCTTCTGGAGAAATCTGGAGATCCAAGCAGAAAGATCTAGAAGCTACGAGGGCCGCCTCAGAGAGAACTCTGTAACATCCTTGCAGGAGGAAGATGGTGTCTGGCAGATGTAGGGCCGAAAGGCGGTGTCCTGGGGACATGAACTCGTGTTAGAGAGAAGGTGCCTGGCTTCTCCTCCAGTCTCTTCGCATGTGAGGAGATCTCCTTCCACTAGGACTTGGGTGTGACAGTAGACTGTCACCGGCATGTGTTCCAGGTGTGCTCAGGAAGGCGAGCACACCCCTGTGAAGGGCTACCTGGCTTTTCTAGCTATATTGTGAGTGACAGTTAAAGCCATCTCCAGAAAGCAGGAGCTGCCTCTGGGTATTTTGGGTAACAAAAAGCCTGGAACCCCCAAAGCTCCATTCCACCAAAAGGGTAGCAGGCAAGGCTGCCCTTATGGACCTGTCTCTATAGTCCCCCCTCTGCTTCCTCCCAGGAGATGCCCCATCTAGTCCTCGGCCCCAGACACAGCTAATTAGAAACCCCTGTGCCATCACTGCACCCTGCATCTGTCTCAGCTACCACATATCCCAGAAGCCCCTGCGCCCTGTGCTCTGCCTTAACCACCGCGTATCCCCAACGCCCTGCTTCTCGCCACGGCCGTCCATCCAGATCCCAGCCTCCTTTGGCAGGGACAGACAGATGCCCCGACCTGTATTAACTTCCGGGGTGAGTCTGCAAACAAAACCTTGGGCTGTGTGTGCCTGTCTCCACCTCCTTGAGTGCTGCTGGGCTTCGTTTTATCCCGTTACATCTGAGGGGGTGAATGCTGTGCTGTGTGTTGACCACAGTGCTGGGAAATACTGTCCGTGACAGGCACAGAAGCCACTTGCTGTGAGTGGAACACAGGGCAATTGCTGCTAAGGCTCAGAGAACCCTTCCTACCTAGGACGCACTCCCTGGAGACAAAGGCAGGCCCACAGAGTCCAGGAGGCCCACCTGGGGGAGGGAGGCTACCTGAGGGGCAGGTTGAGGAATCCGCTAGCTAATGTGATGCAATGGGCCTGGAACACAGCAGAAAAAAGTGTATATTTGTGTGAGTTTCAGCCATGTGTACCTCTCTGGGTACTTCCCTTTGTATGCCCACATCTGCCAATTTGTCTGTGGACGAGCCGCATGTGGCTTCTCTGGGGGCCTGGACTCATCTGCGCCTCAAGACGAGTTTATATTCCTGTTTGTTCTGCCCTTGCCTAATGTAGGCAGGTCCCAGGCCAGATACTGGACAGACAGAAGGGACACAGAAGAGTCCCTGTATCATTTCACCCACAGTCAGGTGGGAGACAAAGAAGAATCATATCTATGACAGCATGCGTGTGCTTTGAGAGCAGAGCAGAGGGGATCTGGTGTGGTTTGGCACTGGGGACCTTGGTTGTTTGGAGGAAGGGTCTGGACAGCAAGTGCCCTAGGCTGTGTGTGCGCGCGTGCGTGCGTGCGTGCGTGCGTGCGTGCGTGCGTGCGTGCGTGCGTGCGTGCGTGTGTGTGTGTGTGTGTGTGTGTTTGGGGGGTGGTGGTGTCAGGTAGCCTCACGCAGAAGGAGTTGCATGTGCAAAGTGAGGCAGAGAGACTTTGGGGGCCAGGCGGCAGGAGCTACAGAAACCAGGAGTTTAGAATGTGGCTGGAGCCAGGGTGAGAGCCGCAGCATCGGCCTACAGGCCAGAAGGGGGATCTATGTGCTGAGAGCGTTCCAATCACGTGGCTATTGGGTGCTCAGATGGGCTGTGGGGACCCTGGATAACACCAGCACAACCACGCAGTAGGAGCGACAGCGGTCAGGACGTGGGGTGTACAGGCATGCCCAGACGACGGAGCTTAGGGAGAGGTGCGATGCACAAGGCCTGCAGGCTCCCTGTGTGTCTATCCCACGTGCATGCCCGTGGCTGCCGCACGTGTTCATATGCTGGTACGGCTGTGCAGAGACCTGCAAGGGGCTCCATCCACCTTGGCCCTCCTCCTTCCCCCTCTCCTCACCAACCCTGGGCCCCGTCTCCCACAGCCTCGCCGCCTCCGCCGCGGCCATGACAGTGATGGTAAGACGGACTCCGTGTCGCAACTGTGTTTCCTCTCGAATCCAGGTCCGCCAAAGATTAGTGAGAGCTCCGGGTGCACTAGGCGATAACACCCCCATCTCGCCCCCCCATTTCCTAATCTCTGATTCATTTCCAACTGATAACAGGATGAGGGACAAGGGGACTAAGAAATAAAGTACCCCAGCAGGTCCTCCCCAGGCCGGAGGCAGCCGCCTGCAGGGGCACTGGCCATCAGCGTCCAGGGGCACCAAGCAGAGAGGAAGCGGTAGAAAGAGGATGAAAGGGAGGAGGAGGAGGTCGTCGAGATGTTGAGAGGGAAGACTAGAGAGAGGGGAGGGGGCAAGAGGGATGAAGGAGAGGAGAGAGGACGAAGGCGGGGGGGGCAGATGGGGAGACAAGCCAGGGAGGCGAGAGAGACCAGAGGGGGAGAGACGGAGAGAGAGAGAATGAGGAGAGAGAAGAGAGAGAGGTGGAGACCAAACACAGAGGCTAGAGAGCCAGAGGAAAGGTAGGAGGAAGTCGAGAGAGAACGGGGAGAGGGAGCAATCCGGGCCAGACAGGAGGCAAGGCCAGAGAGCTGGGGGCCAGGTGGTGGGAAAGAGCAGAGAGACGTGCTGACGGATGTGTGCGTCAGAGAAGGGACTTACTAAAGAGACAGGAAGGGAGAAAGGTGAAGCGAGGAAGGTCCAGAGAGGTGGCCAGTGTACGAAAATGCCATCACATTGTAAATGAAATATGCTAATAATGAGCAGGGGTAGAGGCGGGGATGTAGAGACCGAAACGGGGTGGGCGAAGCTAGCTGGTTTGCTACAGTCTGTGCAGCCTGGACATGGTGGGGGGCACAGGTACCAGCTGGGACCAGAGGACCAGGGCAGAATCCCTCCCCTGCATACCTGTCACTGACTCAGGAACCCAGACCCTCACCACCTCAAGGCTCAGGCTGGGGCTGGAGACGCTTACAGCTGGACTAGGCTGACGAAGGCCGTCGTCCGCTGGGCCCAGCAGAAGCAGGCTTTAGCTAGGGCAAAGGGATCGTATAGTCTGTGTGGGAACCTTGGCAGAGTCTGGTGGGCCTGAACCGTCCAGCCATGAGGTTTGTCCTGATGGCGTGAGAGCACTCTGGGCCTCGCTGTGAGGTGGAAGGACCAGGAGACCAGGAGAGGCGAGAAGTCCGGGCCTGGCTCTGCTGAGAGCTGGGAGGTGAGGGTAGTCAGCTTCCCAGCTCTTCCCTTCCCTGGCCCAGCTTCTCTCTGACCACAGAGGCCTGACCATGCTCAGTGATGCTCAGCCTTTAGGGGTGAAGAGAAGGGAGTCTGCTAGCCACCGCCTTAGCTTCAGGACCCCTATCCCAGCCCCTTTCCTAACCTAGATGGGACTCCAGACAGACAGCTCCTGGTCTGGGGGCACCGGGAGCCAAGAGGACATTCCTGGGCTCCTGGTGAGATCAAAAGGTCCCAAGATAGCCAGGTTAGTAGCTCCAGGCTCCCCAAAGGGGAAGGGTGCCAAGCTGCTCTGAGGGATGTATATCTTCAGTGCTCAAAACCAGGCACAAGGAGTGGGCATCTTTTAGAGGGAATGTGATGAGCAGATACCAAGAAGGTGCCAGTCCCAGAATCATAAGGCCCAGGGCAGCTTCAACCCCAAGTGGGTAACTTGTGGCATTTTAGCAAGTCCTTCTGTCTTCTCAGGCCATGAAGGATGGCAGCTGGCTGTGCCAGGCCAAGGGGACTTATGCCTCAGGCCTGAGCCAGAGAAAGCTCTCCTGGTTCAAGGAAGCCACCCCCTGATTTTGCCATGCCCACCTCCTGATTTGCCATTCGTGCCCGCCCCATGCCCTGACTACCGGCGACCACAGGAAGCGCTGCCCCAGCTCAGCACTTCCCTTTTCTGAAATCTGCCCCCAGCAGCCTGGTGGCCAGGGAAGGCAGACTTCCCGCTGCCTCCACCCTGGGCTCTTCCCACCGGTCACAAGTGGTTTGTGCCTGGGCAGAGGTGACCTTCTTGCCACAACCACAGATCAGTTATTTATCAGAACAGGAAAGATGGCACCAGAGATATGTCTTCACCCCACCCAGGAGGGCCTGACCTGCTCCAACGACCACACTCCCTGTTCCCCACATCACACAGTGCCTGCTCACCACATCACATAGAGGGGTGTGGCTGGCGCGTGCCAGTGGGGCTGCGTTGGTGGGCGGGAACAGAGCAGGAGGTCTGGTGGCCAGGTATGGTGGGATGTGGGGCCAATGGGCTTGAGCGAGGCTCTCTGTGTGGCTGGAAACTGTTGAAGCATCTGGTAACCTTTGGGTCCCATGGAAACCACCTTCCCTCCAGACCCACTGGACCTCCTTGGGATTGGGGCCCTGCTCAGAACGGAGATGTGGCTGCCCTAGAGGGCTCAGGACTTATCAGTGAGGAGTGAGAGAAATGGCCATCAGTGTCCTCAACAGTAACACCCTTGACACTAAATAACTCTGTTCTCAGGGACATCGTGTGCATTGTGGGTATTGAGCTACCTTCTTGGCCAGGACCCACTCAGAGCCAATAATACTCTTCCTCCACTAGCCATCAATCATGATCATCCCAGTTGTCTTTGGACATTGCCAAATGCCCCCCCTGGGAATGCAGTATTGTCCCAAGTCTAGAACCATTAACCCAGGTGCACAAAAGGCCTTGATTTTTTTAAATTTTATTTTATAATCTTGTATTCTGAAGTCCTGGATGAAAAAGACTAACTAACCAACAGCTGGAGTTTCTTGTCTGAAGACTCTGCCCGTAGGGACCCCTCTGGGGTTCTAGATGTAACTGTGGCATGGAGCCCGGAACCAGAAAGGGCTGTTGTGAAATGGGGGAGGTTTCTTGTGAGGGAAGACTGGGGAGATGTACTGTGGGGTAAAAATGGGGTCACACTGGGGCCACATGGTACACAGGGTCTTGAGCCACAGGGAGCAGGAACTCGGGGCAGAACACAGGGCAGGGTGTGTCCTGCGCTCCCTGAGAGGGTGAGCTGGAACTGATCCTTCCCTAAAGCCTGGGGCTACAGGACTGCAGTGCGGGCACTTGAAAGCTGGCCGGAAATGGTGTGAGGGTCCTTTCCTGAAACCGTAACTGCGCCATGAACACGTGTGGAGTTCAGGTTTACACAACCCTCTGCTCTAATCCTCCAGACATTCTTTTTTTTCCTATTGTTGTTTTGAGATAGCCACATATAAGTCTTAGCTGGCCTCAAACTTGCTTTGTAGCCAAGGATGACCTTGAACTTCTGATCTTTCTGTCTCTGCCTCCCACTTCTAGGATTATAGGCATGTACCACCTAAGAGTTAGAGATATTGGGAAAGCCTGTCTCAAAAAATAAACAGATAAATAAAAAGCAGGTCGATTCCAAAAGAAATCAGTTTTGTTGGTTAAATCTTAGCTGTCAACTTGACGGGGTTGAGAGGCACTTAGAAGGTTTGTAGAACACCTCTTAGTATGTCTGAAGGCATTTCTAGAGAGGAGGGCAGAAGCCCCACCCTGTGTATGGATGTCGGTCATCACCCCACAGGACGAAGATCTTATTCCACCGGATCGAAGGAAGGTGTTTCAGAACTCTTCAGAAGTACCTTCTCTCTGCTTCCCAGCTGCCATTTGTGTTTTCTACATATGTGTTTGTCACAACAACTGAAGTCTAGTGCACAGTCCTTCAAAAACACCCCCACCACAATACTAAACAAAATACTCAGTGGGATTGGGTTAAACAGAAAATTAGTAGGGGTTCAAAGTGGAATTAGGAAACTGGAAAACACATCAGGGGAAATTTCATGAGATACAGCACAGAGGTAGGAAAATGTGAGAGGTTAAGTCTTGTTTTAGAATAAGAAGGGCCAATGTGCATATAATGTGGACTCTGTGCTAAAACATCCAAAACCTAATCCTTGAGAAATTTTCAATAGTGAATATCTTCACATTGAAGATAACACACTGAATCCTAAGAAGGGTCAATGCATGATGCCACATGCCTGTAATTCTACCGTTCAGGAGGCTGAGGCCATATGGTGAGAGCCTGTCTCAAAAAATTAAATAATTAATTTTTTTTAAAAAGCACTTCACACAACAATGAAACTACAGAACGTTAAAGACAAAAATATTTCTTTACAATACCAGGGAGAAATGAAGACCACAGAAGTATGACAATCATACTAAAAAGAAGCTTCTCGTCAATGGCTCCCAGAAGATTCCAGGTGGCATCTTGGTGGATCAAGAAATAGAGAGCCTGGGAAAACAATCTTCCACTCAGTGAACCAAACTACAGACAGATAGTGAGGATGCAGAACGCTGTACCTCCCCGGCAAGGTCTTAAGAAGAAGGTGAGTCTTTGGAGCAAGTCAATACTGGATGGGCAGGTGGAGGCGATCCAGGCGGCCTGCTGGAAGACGGCTTCACTTTGGATGGAGGCTTTCAACTCACAAGTGGTCAAACCCCGGCAGGCGGGCAGTGGTGGCGCACGCCTTTAATCCCAGCACTCAGGAGGCAGAGTGGATCTCTGTGTTTGAGGCCAGCCTGGTCTACAGAGCGAGTTCCAGGACAGCCAGAGCCACAGAGAGAAACCCTGTCTCAAAACAAAAACAAACAAACAAATGGTGAAAGCCAAAGTAAAAAGCTGAGCTATGCCCTGAGGAGGAGACAAAGTAACGAGAGAATCCTGTCCTGCGGGTAGGGTCAAAGGCCAGGGACGGTCCGAGGACAACGCTCTGTCTCTTGGGTGCTGTCACTCGTTGCCGATATCTCGCACAATCTTTCTTTGCATTCTATTCAAATATTGCCTCTTTCATGTGCCTTCCCTGGCCCTGCATCTAATGCAACTTGTCACCCCTACGAGGTACCTTAGGCTCTGTTATTCCTCCCAGTAGAGAGGGCACCTGAGAGAGGGGACAGGGTCTGCACCTGCACAGCCCAGCAGGGAACATCCTCAGCTGGAAATGCCCTTACCAGGGAGGGCACCTGGATTGGTTACTTCCCTTGTTGCTATGTTCAAATAAATACACAACAGGAGCCACTTAAGGCAAGAAGGAGTTCCCTTGGCTCACAGTTCATGGGATTTCAGTCGCAGAGGCAGAGAAGGCATGGCAGTTATGGCTGACTGACTGCGGTGGGGAGAGCTTGCGGCAGATCTAGGCAGATCTACTGCCAGCTGGGTCAGTCTCCCAGAGCAGCGCCACCAGCTGGGGACCAGGAGCTCAAGCACACACGCTGTAGAAGACACTGCATATTCGCACCGTATTAGCATTGGCATTAGCATATGCATGAGCATAGTTCCACGTGGGGAAGCTGGTACACGTGGCTGAAGAGGGGAGAGCAGTGTGGGTACCATGCTAGATAGAATAACAGTGACGATAAGATCAAATACACTTGCATCTTGACTCACGATGGCATTGCATCCTGGAGTTCACTCTGTAGACCAGGCTGGCTTCAAACTCACAGAGATCCATTTGCCTCTGCCTCCTGAGTGCTGGGATTAAAGGTGTGGGCCACCATGCCCAGCTTGGTAAACCTATAAGTTGAAAAATATCTGCCATGGTTCTCCCAAACATTCATGTGTCAGGAAGCAAATAACTATGTGAATGGTATTTGAGGGTGAGGCTTTGGGGTGTTATTGGGGTTGCGTGAGAACATAGGGGTCAAGTCCCCACAACATCACCAAAGGTCTCATGGGAAGAGGAAGAAAGACCAGAGCTATCAGGTTTGCTTGTCCTGGCATGTGATACCCTCTGCCATGTTACAGTGGACCAAGAAAGTCCTCACCACACGCCAAGCAGAGGCTGACACCTCTGCATTGCCCACACTCCAAAACTGTGAGCCAACCCCAAACGATCTGCTTGGTAACTCTGGGGATAAGGTCTCTCTCAGCTCTCCATGCTGGCCTCAAACTTGGGGCCCTCCTGCTTCAGCAGCCCCTCACACAGCTGAAATCACTGTGCCCAGCTTAAACTTTGCTAAGGCTTTACGTTATAAATTATCCAATCTCAGATCTTTTTTTTTTTTGCTATAGCCGTACATAATAGATGAAGTGGAGAAGGCATTAGCTACATCCACCCTGCCAGGCATCCTAGCTTATCAGCCCAGAACAATGGAGAATATCAATTCTCTATTGTTTACTGCGGCCACTGCCTAGCGTCACAAGAGAGAATCATACCAAATACCACATGCATGAGAAAAGGTCCACATCCAAAATTTGAAGTATGAGCTCTGTTGAATGCATCTCCCCTTTGCAGCATCATAAAGAGAAACAAAGAAAGTACATCAGGCTGCTGTAAGTCTTACGGAGCCCCTGAGGTTTGCCAGGCCCTTCTAGCCCACTTTGCATGGAAACTCCCAGGAGAGACTTCCAATCCTGCTGATGATGGGAAGGTGGCATCCCAATCTCGATGACCAAAGAAACTTGGGGAGCAAAGGGTTTATTTGGCTTACACTTTCCGCATCACTGTTCATCATCAAAGAAAGTCAGGACAGGAACTCAAGCAGGGCAGGAACCTGGAGGCAGGAGCTGATGCAAAGGCCATGGAAGGGTGCTGCTTACTGGCTTGTTCCTCTTGGCTTGCTGAGCCTGCTTTCTTATAGAATCCAGGACCACCAGCCCAGGCATGGCCCCACCCACAGTGGGCTGGGCCCTCACCCATTGATCACTAATTAAGAAAAATGCCCTATGGGCTTGCTTGCCATCTAAACTTATGGAGGGAGGCATTTTCTCAGTTAAGGCCACCTCCTCTATGATGACTCTAGCTTGTGTCAAATTGACATAAAACCAACCAGCACAGTGATGGAAGCACTCTAGGACATCCACAGGACCCGAGCTCAGAGCCTGCTGTATAGGAAAGAGAGCTGGAGCCTGGCTCTGTGCAGGTCTTGATATGGGACAGAGGGAAGTTGTCCCTGCTGGGGCAGGATCCAGCAATGGGTACAACCAGAGGTTGTCAGTAGGGAAGTCCTCAAATTCTCCAGATTTCAGGCTTTTTCCTGGGTGCAGTGAGAATCCAGAAAGTCCTTGAGAGAAGAGGAAAGAGACAGGGTGGGGCTCTGTGTCCCACCTCTAGGTGAGAAAGCCGACGGGTGGGCAGAGAGAGGCAGTGGGCAACTTCACAGACTGGCTTTCCATGACCAAGGGACAGCAGAGATATCACAGGTAGTGAGCCTGGCTGGTCCCCAGCAGGCAGCTTGACTGTGGGACTTTGGGTCAGCCCCAAGGAGGCCTGTGGAGGCCTGTGGCATTTCCCAGAGACTTGGTATAGGGTTCCTGACAGAGTGACTAAGGCTCTATTCAGGAGTGCCACCCCCACACCCAGAAAGAACGGCAGGCGGACACTTGCGTGGCACTGAGGGCCACTTCCTAGTTTCATCTTGTGCTTGCTGGGAGTATGACTCCTGCCCAAGTTGGCTGCCTCACCAGCCTGAGAGGACCAGAGCCAGGGCATGGAGGTTAGAATTTGCAGCTGAACAGAAGGAGACAGGGTCCAGGCAGAGCTAATTTAGGCAAGATGTCCTTTCCAGACCCAGCATGGGAACCTCCAGAGAGAGGGTATCTGTCACCCTGTAACCCCTGAAGCACATCTTCCCAAGGGACCCCTGCACCAGGTGGGAGTGGGCATGGGGGTCCGTCCTCTCGAAAGTCTGCAGCCTTTTGCTCTCGTTCTCTAGGTTATGACTCCAGAGATCAAGTGGCATCTGCTCCCACCACCACTGATGTCTCTCAGGCAGGAGGCCTAGTGAGCAATGGCCAGTGCTCCAGCTGTGGCCCTCAGTGGGCAGTGAGGAATCGAGAGCAAAGGCCAGCGCCATTTTACCCACGAACTCACTGACGCTACGGCCACCTGCCTAACACCACGTCAACATTCCAGCAGACAGCACCGACTGGACTCATTGGGTCATTAACAACGGCAAAAGGGGAAACCGAGCGGGCGTGGTGGCCCATAACCTTAGTCCCAGCACTCGGGAGGCAGAGGCAGGCGGATCTCTATGAGCTTGAAGCCAGCCTGCTTTGCAAAGCCAGTTCCAGGACAGCCGAGGTACATAGGGAGACCCTGCTTTGAAGAAAAAGTGGTTGCTGGGTGGGGGGACAAACGGGGAGAGACATATGTTGGTTGGGTGCGTCCAGACATTGTTTACACATATGAAATTATTGAGAAATAAATAAAAGATCTACTCTTTCAAGAAGAGTGGTGGTCGAGAGTGGGAGTGACCTTGCTGGGCGTGAGTGCTCTGCCTTACCCAGGAGGACCACAAGGCAGCCTCTCAAAGTGCTGCCTCAGCCCAGCACCTGTCCAGTTTCCTTTTTCTTTTCCTTATTTTGAGATGGAGTCTCGCTCTCTAGCCCAGGCTAGCTTCAGACTTCAAAGCTTCCTCCTGGCCTTTGCAGGGCTGAGATTCTAGGCACGCACCACCACACCTGCCTCCGCCTCACCCTTTGCACCCTGCTGCTTCTGAGCTGGCCCACCCCGAGGAAGGCGTGGCGGCCTTGGTGCTCGGAATCCCACTGCCCACTGCCTGTGACCTCTCGGAAGAGCCCCGAGGCCTACAAAAAGCCAGCTGCTCTCAGGAACCCACACAAGACCTCACCTGCTTTCCCTGACCCACCCTTTCTAACTAATTCCCCAATGGCCACCAGTTGGTTCACATTTTAGTAGAGCCTGGGGCTCTTTGAGGCAGCAGGGTCTAGCTCCAGGGTGGAATGTCCAGCAGTGAGTCAGAGTCTCCAAAGCCTTGATCTCCAAGATGGGCCTTTTGCCCCTATCAGCTCACAGTTCAAGAATTTGAGGTCGGGGACAGGCCTTCTTGTGGCCTGGGGCAGATGGTAGGTCTTGGCTCAGATCAAAGATGTCTCCTGTAGGATAAGCCATTCGTTCTGGGCACAAGATATGGGGACGCCCACTCACATCTGAAGTCCTATGTCTCAAGACAAAGGGTTATCAGGGAAGCGGTCCTACCAGACACCTTGGGCCAACCATGAAGGAGTAAGTGGGGTGTTCTGTGCCCACTCAGACTCCAGGGTGTAGGAAGGGACACCCGGCTCTCATGAAGCCCTTGAGGCTGTCCCTTAACGCAAGCTTCTCCTTCCAGCTCCCCGCCAGGAACTGCAGCCTGACCCCTGCCTGCCTCCCCGGTCTTGCAAGTCCCTCCCTGTGTCCTGGCCTTCCAAAGTGCTGGGTGGCCAGGTGGAAGCCTGAGAATGTCTGGGGGTTAGGAGGGACCATGTGGCTGGAGGGCTGCTGCAGGTGAACTGTACCGGCTCTGCAGTCTGTGTCCAGGATGGGTGGAGTGAGGACGGGCAGGCACTGTGTAGCTGCAGGTGAGGTCAATGTGATATGTGTCTCCGTGATTTCACGTCTGTGGGCTGTATTGGGGTGGTATATGAGTGCTCTGTGTGTGTATGGGGTGTGTCTGTGTGACATCTGTGGACTGTGTTAGTGTGGCACATATGCTGTGTGTGTATACGGTGTGTGTGTGAGAGAGACATCCATGGGTTGCATCTGTGTGGTGCATATGCTCTGGGGGGTGGGGAGCACGTGTCTGTGTTAGTATTGTGATTATCTGAGCTGTGTCTGTGTGGTTGTGTCCTCCATATGTGTGTAGCATGTATCTATATGTGTGGTGTGACATGTGGGTTGTGTCTGTGTGGTTTGTGTATTCTGTGCGTGTGATGTGTGTCTGTGTATTGTGTGGCTTGTGTCACTGTGTGTTGTGTGATATCGCTGGTCTGTGTCTATATGATGTGGCTGTGACACATGTGTGTGATTCTTTGTGCAAGGCATGTGTCCATGGCCCTGTGGGAGCAGCCACCTCATCAGAGCCTCCATGAGCACTAGGCGGCGCAGTGTGCTGTGCTTGACCTGCCCGCAACAGGAGATTCGGGCCCCAGAAACAATGAGAAATAGAGAGAACCTGGTTTTTCCCGGGTGGATACCTAGTTTCCGGGCTTTGTGGGGGACCAGCTTAGGACCGTGATCCCCACATTCTCTTTCCAAACAGATGTTTAGTAGACTCGGCTGGGGAAACTGGGCCCACTATCCCTTTTCTTGTGTCCAGGTGGGGCTCTGGGTACTCACTCACAGGAACAGAGAAGCTGGTAGCAGACCCACCATGGCCATGGCCAAGCTTCTAAACTTATAGTGGGTTGTTAATTCAGTGCCCAAGGAGTCCACCCAAGTTCCAAGTTCATCCCCAGCCCCTGAGCCAACTCCCTTCTCAATCCTGGTTTCCCAGGAGGTCCACTAGTGTCCCAGACGCCTGAGTGGGTCCATCTGCATGCTGCACACAGCCCTCTCTAAGCCAGGACCGCGTGGCAAGGAGGGTTAGATTACTCCCACCTGACTGACCTGTCTTGGCTACGGAGGCAACCCCTATCCTCAGAGAGGTTCAAAGACTGCCAGAAGGCTGGCCAAAGACACGGCCAAGGTCATGGTGTGGGATAAAGGCCTCGGGACCACTAGTCAGCTGAGCCCGGTGGTCTACGTCTGTAATCCCAGCTACTCGGGAACTGGGGAAGGAAGATTACACACACAGGACCTCTCCGGGTAATTTAGTCAAATCTTGTCCCAATGCAGAAGAAGTAAAAAGAGAGCTGGAGTGGGGCTCCGTGTGGAGCACTTGTTCAGAACCCCCCAGTGAGGTGTTGGGGTGGGGCTAGGTGATAGAGCACCTGCTCAGAAACCCCCAGTGAGGTGTTGGGGTGGGGCTTGGTGATAGAGCACCTGCGTACAATCCCCCAGTGAGGTGTTGGGGTGGGGCTAGGTGATAGAGCACCTGCTCAGAAACCCCCAGTGAGGTGTTGGGGTGGGGCTTGGTGATAGAGCACCCGCGTACAATCCCCCAGCGAGGGGCTGGGAGCGGTGACCAATGATGGAATACTTGCTTAGCATACATGAGTCATTAGGTCCAATCCCCAGGACTGCAAAACAAACAAACAAAAAAGCCCAAGTTGCCACAGCTGGACCTTCGGCACTACGCACTGAACTCTGGGCCTGCTGCTGTCTCTCTGCCCTGATAGTTCCCCTGGGAGAGCAGACAGGCAAGACCTGGACAGGGCAAGGGGCTCCCTGCAGTGGTCAGGACTTTTCCCAGGGCCAGTGTGCTCCAGGCTAGTGGGGTTGAGGGAGAGATGAGTCCCAGAACTCTGGGAGGGGCGCATGTGAGCATCCATCCTCTCCTTCCCTGTTTACACCTTCTCTAAGCTGTGTCCCCTTCTGCAGTGTGCTCCCCACCAAACGCTCACTCCCCATATTAGCAACCTCTCACACCGCTCCTCTTCCCTGCCCTTCCTCTCTGCTCCTCTTCCTCTCCTGGGAGGGGAGGTTTCTCTGAGCCATTGTCCTTCCCTGAAGCGGATAATCATGGACCTGAGACACAGAATAGCTGAGCCTAGCTAGGACCTTCAGAGTACCCCAGGGAGCAGAGGGCATCTCCTCTCAAGAGCCGGGTAAGGGTCACATATTTGTCCCACAGTCTCTGGGTCAGTGGTGTTTTCCAAGGAGCTCTGGAGTCCTTAAGTTGCAACCCGAGTGGGTCAGAAGAATGGGTTCCTGGTACCCCTGGCAGATCCACCAGCAGATAATGTGCAAAGCTTCCCAAGTGGAGCAGGATGAGTGGACAGGACAGAAGTGAGCACATCAGTGACCCTCCCAGCGGAGCACAGGACATACGACCCAGGGAGCACAGTGGAGGCATCTGAGCCGTCCTTTCTCATTCCCAATCCAAGTTGCAGGGCTGCTGGGTCTGCGGCTGGCAGGGGCTGACTTGCTGCTGGGAGGAACCCTCCGGGTGAGAAAGACAGTGTCTCCCCATCCTCAGGTTTGTGACTGGCCCTAACGTTGGCCGTATGGCATCCCCTACTACACCCCATTTCAACCAGACCATGCTGAAAATGGGGCTGTGAGCCCCAGAATCCAAGCCCATGGCACAGGAATTTGGCACTACTAGGTACATTTGGGGGCACTGGAGAAAAAGCAGGAAAGCGCCCTGAGGCTGGAGCTCCCTCGGCCTCTTAGCCTCAGAAAGGTTTTCACATCTTCCACTCATAGCCTCCTGGGGCCCTGAAGCACCTAGGGGCCCACACACACAGCCTCCACGGCACCCCTCAGCCCCTGGTCTAGAGGAAAGGGAAAAGACTGGACCTACAGGCCTCCCTTTCTCTCTAAGGCTGGGCCAGCGCCAGGGGCCAGCCCCTCACCCACCCCAGAGACCAGGGCAAGGATTGGTGGAAAGACCAATAGGTTCAGGGGTCACCATGTGTGGCCAGGTCACGGGTCAAAGATTTGCTGACAGTAGGCTGGGAGGTATTGATCTAATGGGGGAGGTGACAGAACTCTGACCCTGCCAAGGACAGTGGGCAAGGCTGGTGGTCAGCACGCTGGACCCCACACAGCCTGCTCAGAGCAAGGCTACGCAGCTCATGCCTCCGGAGCCCCTCCCACGGCCCCGGGTCTCTCAGCAGCAGGGACAAATGATGGTGCCACTAATTATTTCATTGTCACCCTTGAACTGACGTACCAGCATGCTGGCCGGGGGACAGCAGGGACCAGGGCCTCCAGCTTCTGAAGCTCTTGAAGGTTTGAGACAACCAAAGAATTGAAGGAATTGAGAAGGGCTGCCTTGCTGGGCATGTTGGCACACACCTTTAATCTGAACACTTGAGAGGAAGAGGCAGGCAGATGTTTATGAGTTCGAGGCCAGCCTGGTCTAACATAGTGAGTTCCAGATTAGCCAAGGCTACACAGAGAAAACTCTGTCTCAAAAAAAAAAAAAAAGAAAAAGAAAAAGAAAAGAAAGGTGGAGGAGGAGGAGGAGGAGGAGGAGGAGGAGGAGGAGGAGGCAGATGGAGGCAGCAGCCCCACCTCCAGCAGGGACAGGTGCTGGAGGTCTTTAAGACAGCAGCAGGCGGGGGGGGGGGGGGGGGGGGGGGGGGGGGGGGGGGGGGACTGAGTAGCTCAGCTGCAAGGTGCCCCATTGACGCTTCAGCCCTCACAGTGCCCACAACACCCACCTCAGCTCTCAGGTCAGTTCACGTCCCTGGACTGCAGGAGGAATTTCAGGTCCTCCACCCCAGACGGCTGCAGTGGGTGAGCCTGGCGGAGGCTCCCTGCTCTGACCGGGGAAGCCCCAGTCAC